TTCTGAGGTTTGTGTCCCACTGGAAGTGCCCACCGAATTCACCAGTTCTTTCGGCTCAAGCCTGAAGCCACATGGGAGTTCGACACCTCAATGACAGGCAGTAACTCATTAGCATTTATGCGATGCTTCCAGCGCTTGAAATGGAAGACTAACGAGAAACTAGCGCACGGATCTGAGACGCACTTGATAATCCTGCGCGGCTGTCAATTGTGGTATGATGAGCTCAGGTAGATATGACCTGACATGTTAGCATCCCAGGATTAATGCTGTCAAGGCACGATGAACTTCCTTTCATCGGATTGCATGAGATAAGGAGCTTGACTGAAAGAAGCCTGCACATGTGAACTACCACGTACCGGTAGGCTCTCACCATAGTCTTCTCAACTCGGCATATCTGCCCACTGCCAGATTCTATCTGAAACGTCACGTCCTAGCTCTCCCTCAAAAGCCCTAGGACGACAGGCAGATGCAAGTAAATTATCTTTGTTGAGCTCATTGTTGGACAGCTTGGATTCGAACGTCAGATATGTCGATGGATGTGACCTGTTGCATCTGATATGGAATTTGCATGATTTGCTGACATCGCGCTTCGCTTGCTTGAAAAAAAAAATGTCTCGCGGCTCTGTGTTGCATAATTCTTTGCAGCTCAATTGACTGACTGGCCTATTGATTATTGATTAATGCTTACTTGGTTGTTTCGTGAGGTGCTGTGCAAAGGAACAGTCGCCCCTGTAGTGAGTCTTTGCAGGTTGCCTTCAACAGCTTGCGGTCTTTTAACGATGGCATGAAGAGAGTGCAGCACAGTAACGATAGAGTAGTCCATTTTTCAGAAGCCTACCCTGCTATCAATACTCCTGAAAGACAGCCGATATTTGCAACAATCATGTTTGCTCTCTAACCATCAAGAAACCGCATCATCATTCTTGTATGTCTTCCCATGCGGGGGCAGCATTCGATTAGGTAGTTTCAAAGCCCGGTTCCCCCGCATACGGCTATTGAACCTTCCTTCGGGGGTTGCCCGACCGTTTCGTGTATTGATGTCAATACATGCTGAGTACATGCAATTATCATCAACAAGGGCATCTATCCCCGGCCTGACCGGGGCAATTATCCATAATCGGTGCGGACCTCGAAGCTAATTATTGCTGTTCTGTGTGGTCTGGTCCGGGGTATACTGTGAGTGTATGCCAGAGTTTTACTGTGAGATCAGACTCTTGCTATACACTCAAAGGTCACCCGTCGTCGCAACTATATATTCGCCGGGGACGGCACATTGGTACTTGCTACGCGAAATGCCAGCCGGTCAATGTCGGCTGCTAGGAATAGAAGCGACTGTCAAAGATTACATAAGTTAACTAGTTGCGATAATTCATTATATTAAACAACATCTGAACATTTTGAGTTTTGTTGCTGTTCAAGTCACTGTCCGGATAGAATACCGTGCTGTGTACGGATCGGGTAATACCGCTGTTGCCGTCTTCTCTTCCCAAGTTTCTTTTCTTTGCCGTCTCCTGTTTACCTCTGGAATCATACACGAGTTGGTTGAAATCCAGCATATGTGATTAGCCCAGCAACTTTATGCCGAGTATAAGTTGATGACTGCATTTTGAGTTAGGTGCATGCGACTTGGCTCAGCTAGTGGTAAGACTGAACTTATATTTACCTCGAGTGTGGGGAAAGCACGAGCGCCTGGATGAAGCTCGAATCCGATCCCCAACGAACGACAGATAACATGCTGGTAGCACGCCGAAGTCGCTGAATGTCCACCAAACCTTCCTCGCCCAGTGTCTGACACCAAACATTTTCTTCTCCTTCTCTCTTTCTACAGTCAGCAAGCGTGATCATCTCTTTCGCCTTTCTTCGGCCGGTTAAATCTCAGACCTTGACACATTACGTGCATGGTACCGACACATTACGTGCGTGGTTTCTCGGAGTCAAATTGTGAACGTGGCTTTAAAGCAAGTTTGCGAGACCTTGCTAGGATGAAGATGCAGCTTTAGAATCTCATTCGGGAGAAGTGAACCTACGGAGCGACATTCGCACTCTAGAGAATAGTCGCCATGGAGCAAGACGAACGATCTTCCCCGGTCGCGGGTACTCCAGGCTCGAGAGCCAAGGCTCGTTCAGACCATCTCATGAAACGCGTCTCAAGAGCTTGCTTGCATTGCAGACAGCGTAAATCGAAGTGTGATCTGTAAGTCAATCGTCTGATGAATATGATGCCCTAGGCTGCTGCCAGCTTGGATTATTTTGCCTACACTCATTTCTTCTCATTTCATGGTCTTCACATATGCTGGCTCTCTCATACGTGGATAACTAATCAAACTGCGCATACAGAGACAGCAGTGGTAGTCCTGGAGTGCCACCATGCCAGCGCTGCATCCGAGATAATCGTGAATGTGTCCTAGGTAGCTCTAACCGAGGAGGACGGCGCATTCGCAAAAACAAGATGCAGAATTTCACCCCAGACAGCATAACTTCGGGCCGAAGAGACTCCATCATAGAACCGGCAAGCCCCTCAAACTCGGAGAACCGTCAGACAACGGCTTCGGGCTCGTACCCCAACCCGGTTCAATTTGTCCCCCCAGATCCCCCCACCGCACCTTCATTGTCCGTGGATGATGAAGACACAGCTTCTATAGGCTCCGTGCCCCGGAACCCCTCTGACGCATGGCAGTGTCTGACCGGCATCGCGAAAAGAGGCACGGATGGTCCCAGCCCGGACTTTGGAGCCGAATCTCTTCGTGTAAGCTCGAATGGCTTCACTGGACTCAGTGCGCTTCGAGATGGCTCTATGGGTGACTTTCCGTCCAACAGTGGCATCAAAGCATATCGCCTAGTACAATCTCGGTCTCTGGATACGGGGACCGTTTGGCAACTAGTGGTTCGGTATGCTGAGCACTTCCACCCGTATCTCCCCTTGGTGCCACGGAAGTACTTTGAGCGTAGCGCACTCGATACGTTCGCCAGCAATGAGAAGCATCTTCTCACTGCCGTTCTAACCATTGCCTCTAAAGACCTTGTGGAGCGACCAGAGATTCACGAATACTGTTCCAAATACATGCACGAATTGATATCCGGAATCGCCGCCGGCGCCGACTGCGACGTGGAGGCTGTAGAAGCCCTACTTCTCCTAGCGGAATGGGAGCCCCAAGGTCTTCGACCTCGAATAGAGAAAGTTGGCCGTGGCGAGGAGGATCGCGCTGCCTGGATGCATGTTGGGCTCGCTTTGCGCTCTGGATATTTTCTTGGTCTGGACAGATCGTCATTTCGAGGCGATTCGTCCGGAGACACAGAGACGGAGGCTCGGAGACGACTAGCATGGACCAGTTGCTATGTGTCCGATCGATTAATATCTGTGCGCATCGGGCGAGCCTTCTGGTCCCGAGGCCCGGGACCAATGACTGGTCTCGTTAGCCAGGACTTCCCATCGCTGCAACCAGTGAATGATGGCGACGAGGACTATGCGAGGGTCTTCCAGGCCACGCTAGATCTTACTCAATTGTATAACAATGTGCACGATGTGCTATATTCTGGGATGCGAACGAGCAACCAAATGATGCTTATGGGTGACTACGTGAAGTACGTTGACGACTTCCGACTGGCAATCCTGCGCTGGAAATCTCTATGGGGCTCCTTACCATGTGAGTCAAACTCTCTACAGTCATGCCTTTTCACTAATCATCAGCAGGCTATACGCCAATGAAGGTTACCTTACAACTGTCTTACGAGTATCTAAGACTCTACACCAACGCTTTTGCCTTCCAAGCAGCTATTTCCCAGTCCTTGGTCTCCAAAATGAAGAACGACGATCAGTCTCAAAGAGAGTACTTACGGACAACTTTCAACAATGTGGCTTCCATGCAGGATGCTCGATTTATCTACGAATCGATCGATGCTGCCAAAGCTTACCTGACCATACTTGTCGATGTGGTTGACCCAGAGAAACATCTCCATTTTATGCCGCTCCGATTCTATCTATATGGGATTTATTCTGCAGTATTTTTGTACAAGGTAAAAGCACTCAAGTCTCCCTCTACTGCCTCTTCTTGAGACTCACTGCATGCGACTAGGCCCGCTCCTTCGGTGTTATGATGTTCTCCGAGGAGATGAAGGTGCGGGATCTTGTTACTCGGACTACACAAGTGTTGAGGCGAGCCAGCGCCGGCCCTGACGATATTGGGTCACGGTATTCGCGGCTTCTAGAGCTCTTGTGGCAACAAAAACCGATGCCAGCCACTTCGCCAGCAGGGGTGCACCAAGGAAGCGAGATTGTTATGCCGAACGATAGCAGCGCACTCTCACACCATACATCCGATCCCCATGTGCACTTTAGCCCCGCAAACGACTTCTCGTGGCTGGATCTCGAAGCCGTTGGTGATTACGTCTCTGGCGATCAGATGTCAGGAACGAACACGCTGGCATTGGACACATTCCAGAATCCAGATCTATTTATTCCTGGACAGGATCGGTCTCAGACCTGGCAGGTACCAACATGGTCGGGAGACATGAGCAGCAACCTTCTCTTTTAAACGAGTTGAGGATAGCTGAGTGACAGTGTAGTAACCAGGCAACAAGGATACGACCCGAATTGGGTATTATTGGGACAATCATAACCCATTGCTGGAGACTGTGAACCGGGGTATATTTCCGTATTGGGCTTGTACGGGCCGTACCCGATCAAAGCGATGCCTTACGACTTACAGGGGCAAGGCGTAACCACCGCCGCCGCGCGCCCGTCCGTTTCCTTCACCCCCACTGTTTAGTGCGGGGTCGTGGGGGGGGGGAAGTGTTTAGTCGGAATTTACGCCGACCTGAAGAGCACATGGCTACATACTACGTATTCAGAAGACTGCGCTCGGTGCTGTTTCCTCCATAACTCGTCCGCCTCCCTTCACGTAATCACCCACCTTGTGGTTCCGACTCCTTGCTCTGCAATATTGTCCACAATTGCTCCGATCAACATCGAATGACCCAGACTACTACTAACTGCTAGAACCATGTCTCAGCTGAACGAAATCCGCGGCCGACTGGCACTGATAACCGGCGCCTCTGGAGGGTAGGCTTCGCAGAGTCAGCTAATAGTTCCAGCTTGCGTGCTGACCGTGATATTGTGATACAGAATTGGTGCAGCTTGCGCACGACAGCTGGCTGAGCGCGAGGTCCATTTGGCTTTGACGTACTCATCCAACTCGGCTTCAATCACATCTCTGAGGGATGAGCTGTCATCAAAATACCCTACACTCCGGATTACAATTCACCAGGTCGATGTGGCATCTGCTGAACAAATTGAGGCTATGTTCGTGCAGATTGACGAGCAACATGGACAACGACCTGACATCCTTGTCTCCAACGCCGGCCACGGCAAGCGAATCCGTCAGATCTGGGATATTTCACTCGAGGACTTCGACTATACGTTGAATGTCAACCTTCGAGCCTCATTCATATTGTCAAAGGGAGTGGTTGAGCACATGAAGAATCAGCGATGGGGACGAATCGTGTTCATGTCCTCGATTGCTGGCTACGGAGGAGGTATCAATGGTTGCCGTATGTTATACAAGCTATCCGAGTACGATAAGCCTCACGCAATTGCTGATTTCGATCTTGTTTTACAGATTATGCCGCCTCGAAGGCTGGCATGACCGGTATGATGAAGAATCTCTCCACTCGACTGGCGGAGTACAATATTAGCGTGAATGACGTCGCACCTGCGATCATCGGCGACACGGGGATGATCCCTAATGCCGACTCGGTTCCGGAGATTGCGGCAAGTATACCCCTTGGGCGGGTTGGAACTCCAGGAGAGGTTGCGAATGTGGTGACTATGCTTGTGACGACAGGTTACATGACGGGCCAAAGCTTGCTGATCGGAGGCGGCTTGAAATAGAGGCTGTGAGGCCTTGGTGGGTCCATCGTTTGGACTTGCTTGGACATGGAAGGGACCAAGAATAGTTGAATTAGATAGCAACCTGAATTAACAAGGCTGCGATCAGGATCTCTACATTGGTTGTTAAAATGTCTTCATCGTTCTGGATGTAACTTGATAGTAGATCTAGAAAAGTGGTCCACGGTGGTAGTTGTCCGCTCGCGGGCCCGACCCAGACGTCCGACCCAAGGCGGCGGCTTACTGCCGGGCGGTGAGCTGAAGACCTACCAGAATCACACTAGTGCTAGGGCTAACATACCCTAGGCGGGTGCCAAGCGCGAAAAAGCGCACCACAACGAGCGAGCCTCGCGATCTCAAGTTTGAGCGGCCGACGACAGAAAAGCGACAAAACTTCTCACCCGACATCGAAGGACCACCCGCTCGGCAACCACATCAAGATGGTGAGTGCTATATTCGAGTTTATTGTCGTTGTTGGAATCGGAGCAGAGGATTTTATCACGCGAATTCGAGAATTACGGTCTCTATGATGTTGAACCCCCGTTGTACCGGAAATCTTCGATCCTGTGTGCCTATGGCCCCCGAATGAAGGCCGACCGTATATCGAAATCTCACGACCCTTGCTATCACCGCCCGTCAAATGAACCACCTCACCGTTCGCTACGAATCCTGCTCCGGAGGAAAATGATTGGCGTGTTGAATTGAAGGATTTTGATATGTTGAGGGCTCATGCTGATGTTGGGTTTTTTTCCCGTCGCCATCAGGTCCGTTACGCTGCTCAGGATATCCCGGCCGCTAAGAGCGCCCGCGCTCGCGGCTCTTACCTCCGTGTCAGCTTCAAGAACACCCGTGAGACCGCTCAGGCCATCAACGGCATGAAGCTGCAGCGTGCCCTTACCTTCCTCACCAACGTTACCGAGAAGGCTGAGGCCGTCCCTATGCGCCGGTACGCTGGCAGCACCGGCCGCTGCGCTCAGGGTGAGTGCTAGATACATTTTCCCTACATGCGACGAATTCCGGAAGCGGACACAATGAAAGAGTTGGAGAAGGCGAATCGAGGGCGAGGTCGTGGACGAACAGGACAATTGTGTACACCGTGGATGGCTATCGAGAATTTTGGGGTTTGAAAGGCTAGTGAAATTGGAGACGACTAACAGTCTTCGTTCCACAGGCAAGCAGTGGGGTGTCAGCAAGGCTCGCTGGCCCGTCAAGTCCGCCGAGTTCCTCATCGGCCTCCTGAAGAACGCTGAGGCCAACGCCGATACCAAGGGTCTCGACACCGGCAATCTCGTTGTCAAGCACATCCAGGTCAACCAGGCTCCCAAGGGCCGCAGACGCACCTACCGTGCTCACGGTCGTGTATGTTGAACCTCGCATTCGTTCCCCTCTCCCACAGTCACCCGCGACTGACTTTTCTCGATTAGATCAACCCTTACATGACCAACCCCTGTCACATCGAGCTTATCCTTACTGAGGGTGAGGAGGTCGTTCAGAAGGGTCCCGTTGCCGAGCGTGAGGTCCGCCTCAGCTCTCGCCAGCGTGGCGCTCAGATCCGCCGTGCTCTCATCGAGGCATAAGCGGTTCATGGGTGTCGGGGGAAGTGAAGTGGTCAGAATCTGAATGGGAATGCCGGAGTTTCGCTGTTGTACGGAAACCTATACCTGGTCACGGAAGGAATACAAAAGAAATTATTACTTTTTTGACAAATGGAAAAAATTCGAAACCAACGGGCGAGACCATCTATCCGTGTCACATCTGAGACAGTTGATCTCTACCTATCCCCCGCCGGTTCTTTCCCTAGGATCTTGTTTCGACAACCTTTCCGTGGCATGTGAAGGTAGAACAGGAGTTGCAGATTCTCTGATACCACAGGCCTGGGTGGGTGGCCTGGGTCGACACGGCTAGTTCGGACATTCTCACAATTCAGAACACTTTGAGTGCTGCTTTTCATGAGTGGGATACGGAATTTATTGTTTCATGAAGTAAAGAGTCGAATGTGCCTAGATTGACTTTCCATGTAGTTGTAATGTAGATTGTTATTATCATGATGTCCAGATCAACTAAAGACGTTGAAAAAGACTCCAACTGCGCCACAGCACCCTCCGATCTACAGGCGATGCCTAGATCCATTATTCTTGAACCCCAGGCCCTCGCGGACAGCCGGAGACCGTTTTGTTGCCTGCCTGACAGGCCAAGAGTGGCTGTGGCCCCCGACCAGTGATTGTCGTGTTTCTCAGCCCAATGCGATCACCCGACAACCGGACTCGCATACCCCATGACGACGGGAAGCAGAGCAATAGAACAATATCTAGGCTTGCATACGTAGTCGAGCCCGGTTGGTTGCGCCGGTGAAGCACATGCGCAATACCGTCTGTGGTTGCAAGCAGGCACCACTATTTGCTGATGGGTTCCAAAGGGATAGTTCTATCAGGTCCCCAGGTCTTGGTCAATCCGCACAAGACCCTGCTTGCGTGTCGCCGACAAAGCGTCCTTGCCACTGCAGCAGATTTGGCAGTTTTGAACGGATCATCACCACACCTCCTCAAGCGAGGAAAGGCTTTGGCGGAAAGTTGGTGGAAAAGGACAAGGTAATACAAACTGCCGCCCGCCGCCGTTCCGGTCCGCTTACTTTGCTTGCTTTGCTTTCTTCTTCCAACTCGGTTACTGCGGCGCCTACTAGTCAACTACTAAACTACGAAGCTACTACCTAAACTACAAGTCGACTATTTTGTTTGGTCCTTCTTACCCCCCTCCCCCCTTTTCTTTGTTCGCTTCTTTTAATTGTTCTTGCCCATTATCCTCTTCTTCTTATCTTGAACATACCATTCATATCCGCTTTCTTTGAGCTTGTACGGTGATCATGAAGCGCATCTTTAACTCTATCAGCAAGCGGACTAGTGAGTAGTCGTTCCCCAGTCGCGCGACCATGCCAACCTCGGTCACTAATGCTATGCCGTCTGACAGGTCCGACGCGCCCCAGTCTTGCAACAACTACAGCTTATCCAGATGACTCGCCTGAGGGGATCATTCTGCGAGAAGTGGTTGGTTCAATCCCCTGCTTTCTTTTTCGAAGCACAGTAAGCTAATAAAACGTCTTGCTTGTTCTTCAGACCGCATTCTGCGAAGAAGGTGCGAACAGTGTTGTACGTCTCTCTTTCCCTGCGTCTCTCGAGCGCGACATCGTAACGCTCGCGTTCCCCACCTGCGATTGAAGCACTCATACCGTGTGTCCAGGGGAATGAATACGTCCATCTGCCGGGCATCGTCGAAAACGCCGAGTCGAGCCCCAACGCAGCTCGCGAAGCCGGATTGCTGATCCGCAAGATCCTGTCGGAACCTTCAAAACGACCCACTCATGTGCAGTACAATGCCATCATGCTGATTCGCATCCTCGCCGATAATCCGGGCCATACATTCTCGCGCAACATCGACGCCACGTTCGTTGCTACGATCAAGGACCTCTACAAACAAGGCAGGGATCACCGCGTTCACAGCTTTTTGAGAGAGACCCTGGATGCTTTGGAGCTGCAGCGATCGTGGGATGAAGATCTCAATCTTCTCTTGCAGATGTGGAGCGCCGAGAAGGCTAAAAGCAACAGCCGACCCAACGGGCTGCGTGTAAGTATATGCGCCATCGCGTTTTGTGGCTTTGGCAATGCTGACGGAAGGAACGGCGGTAGGCTAGCCGGAGTTCATCGCAAGTGCGGGCGCCTCTACTGAGTCAGAACCACTTTGCTTCTCCGAGACAGCAGAACACGCTCCCACAGCCTGAGGAGCTTGCTGAGCGCATTTCCGAAGCAAAGACTTCGGCGAAATTGCTCACGCAGTTTGTCCAATCCACCCCTCTCGCAGAGTTGCTCGAGAATGATCTCATCACTGAATTCTCCGACCGATGTCGCACGGCGTCTCGCGTGATCCAGAACTATATCCATGCGACGAACCCAGCGCCCGATGAGGATACGTTGTTGACACTGATTCAAACCAACGACGAACTCACTGTGGCTCTGTCAAATCATCAGCATGCCCTGCTTCGGGCGCGTAGGTCGCAGGGCCCAAGCGGTAGCCAGTCTCCGGCAACATCATCCAACAACGAGACTGCAGCATCTGGTGCTGTGCAACCACACGCAGCACCCCCAGTGCCACCCAGAGAGCCGCCACGTACCTTCTTGCCATCTTCTGCCTCGCAACCAGTGATGCCGGGCCCTTCGGGGTCGTCTAGCAACAACGGCGACTGGAACGACCAACGGTCGGGAGGTAGCGAGAACCAAGACCCGTTCGCAGATCGCCACACCACTACCACCGCCGGCCCTTCAACGTATGGTGAGCCGAGGTTGGACGGGCCGAGCAGCGACTGGCGGAAGGAAACACAACAGCGGCCAGACCAGCATTCTTAACGCCCCCCTTCCCTTTCATTCCTTGTATGTTTATTATGATGTAGCGATACCTCGACATGATACCTCTCTGCAAAACAGTGTTAGATTGAGCCTACCTCTATTCTTATCGTCTTTCCTATTATTCTACTATTGGTGTGTTGTGGGTCGTATTACGCTGGCCCTGAATCTGACTGGAGCAGCTGCCATGGATTGGAACCTGGCTCGGATATTGCAATGCTCGTCCCGAATAGATGAATTAGCTGCATCCCAAACCTCGGTCTGGGCAGGGGTGGAAATGCTTGATGGAGCTTTCCTGGCTAACGGCGGTCTTAGCTCGAACCGGAAGCGCCATCCGCCGTCATCGGGCTGAAAAAAATCCCTGTCTAGATAACGGAGGAGGGGAAAGGCAGAGGCAAAGCAAGGCCAGGAAATTTAGGAGTGCCCGCTAGAGAGAAGAGCGTGTAGCATGAGAATCGATGTCTGGCTGGGCAAGGCGCGGAATTAATGTAGGTGAAACCCTAACTGTGCCAAGCATCCCGAGTTCACTGCTAATAAGACGCAGCTCCACCGCTGTTTCACGCCCATCTACGTGAAACCATTCGGCGCTTGGGACCATACCGATCTGGTACGTGCGACCGCTGCAGGCCCTTTGGTCTATGTCTCTATGACCACTGAGGTGCCTCGATCAGTGACCTGTCAATCCATCGTGCCATGTCCCGGTGGAGAGGCACCCTGTCATTATTTCTTCAAGGGTTTAGATGGTTCTGTCTAGACGCAAGAACCGTTTCACGGCCGACCTCCGAATGAAGCTGCTCCAGTTGGTCCAGGCACCGTTTTCTTGGTATATAGGATGGCGAACTTCGCTTTTCTGCTCGAGAACTTTTCATCTTTCTCTCTACACGCAGGCTTGTCTGTTCATTTCGTCCTTCTCTTCGACATTCTTTTTTCTCCTTCCGGTCTGTGACCATCTCATTCTTTAAACCTTCCACTCTTTGAAACATCAGGTATACTGGTATACCCGAATCCTTCACTACATTCTTTCTACCCACCAAATCAACTTCCATCAAAATGAAGCAAACCGGCTCTATCCTCGCCCTCGCTGGACTCGTGTCCATGGCCAACGCCCACGGTTTCGTGACCAGCCCCCAGCCCCGTATGCCCGGATCTGCCATGGAGAAGGCCTGCGGTCAGCAGGTGTACAACAACCAGGAGGCCGACAACTATGGCAACATCCAGGGTGAATTGCAGATCGCCAGCGGCCAGAGCGACTACGACGCCGAGGCTTGCGACATCTGGCTCTGCAAGGGTTACAAGTACGCCGACAACACGGCCAACGTGCAGTCCTACAAGCCCGGTGAGGTCATCGACTTCACGGTCGACATCCGCGCTCCTCACACTGGTACTGCCAACGTCTCCGTCGTCGACACTGCCACCAACACCATGCTCAGCCAGCCCCTGATCTACTGGAGTGTGTACGCCTCCACCGCTACCGGTGTGACCGCCAACGAGACCAGCTTCAGCGTCACCATGCCCACTGACCTCGGTGACAAGTGTAACGAGGCCGGTGCTTGTGTTCTTCAGTGGTGGTGGGATGCCCGCTCCATTGACCAGACCTATGAGTCCTGCGTTGATTTCACCCTGAGCGGTTCTTCTTCTTCCTCTTCTTCTTCTTCTTCTTCTTCTTCTTCTTCTTCTTCTTCTTCTTCTTCCTCCTCTTCCTCCGCTGCTGCGGCTGTCGCCACCAGCGCTGCTTCCAGCTCTACTTCCAGCGCTGCTGAGACCACCACTGCTGCAAGCGCCGCCGTCACCTCCCCCGCGGCTGCCAACAACATTGCTCCCGTTTCGTCTTCCGGCCCCACCACCCTGGCCACCAGCGTGAAGCAGACTGCTACTGCCGCTGCTGTCTCCAGCGCCACCAGCACCAGCGTCTCCCTGCCCACCGACGGTACCGCCGAGGAGCAGCTCACCTGGGTTGCCAGCGTCTTCAAGGCCCTTCTCAACTACGCCAACTAAGTTGGGGCGGAAGATGAGGTGGGTGTGCGTTGCACTGTACAGGCATGTGTTAGGATAGAGGTAGATCGCAACTAGATTGCCTGCCTTTTATTAGATCTTCTTTGTTGAGATTAGTCACTTCAAAATTCTATTCATTTTCTCAACACAGTCCTGAAATAGTTCTAATAAGTAGCAAATAGCTTTCATCCACTGCAATTACCGATTGATTTTGATGACATAGTGTTATAGGACTATGGCCATAGCCTAGGGATCATCATGTCTGCTTCCAAGTTATATGCCAGGCCTCTTGAGCCTTTGACCTAAGCCCATGTCACTGGTCCTGCAAGCAAACAAGTCGGAGTTGCTTGAAGCCTCTTTCTTAGATTGGACAATCCTCTCTGGCCACTGCAAACGGTTCTGAAAAGGACATACTGTCTTACCATGAGTATAGAGGGATGTACAGTATGGAGACCCAGGTCCCCGGCTGTCCGTACGCCCAGGCGGTCTCTGTGAAAGAGTCTGCGTGTACGTGCCAGGTGAATATCAATATCTTCCCCCCGCCTCCCCCCACTTCTCCCCGCCGCAGACATTCACTTGCGAGCTTCGACATACTAATATTCTATGTGGATCTGTGTGGGCTCGTGTGAATGTAGACCTTTGAGGTGTGAATGATATGAGATACTGACTCATTCTGTTCCTTGCTTGGATATCTATTTCATCTCTCTCCCTCTCTCTCT